GGGTGGTGGTTGTGGTGGGGGTAGGGGGTGGTGGTGGTTATGAGCCAGACCAAGAAGCATCACACATAATTTCTGATAACCTTCCATTGCTAGAACTCAGTCACATAATCCAACCTTTCTACAGGTGAGGCTGGGAAAAGTAGATTAGGTATGTCCTCAGGAAAAATAAAGAAAAGGTTTTGGTAAACACATAACAACCTCTCTCACAGTTTAAATATCTAAGAACAAATATAGTTATATCTTTCTTCCTTATGTAGAACCATCTCCTTCCTTTTCTAAAGAGCTTATCTATCCCTAATTCTAGTTCCAGGCCCTTGATTTCCAGGTGATACAGTTTTATTCCAGATGTGGCACATCATGATCTTGCAACCCATGAACTAAAAAGACAAGTTATCTGTCTTGTCCCTATCCACCCAGTATTCACTCATGAAGTAGGGACACTTCCATACATTAACACTATTCACAATAACACTTTCATTCGTAAAAATCCAGTTTGCTATAAAAGGTTGCTGGTGTTGGGACACACCACTCCATGTAGACATTCAGGGATCTAGGTTGATAATAGCTCTGTTATCAACACAAAGCTTTGAGGATCACCCAGGGTGCTGACATTTAACTGGTACCAGGAAGAGAACGGGAATCACTTATGAGAGGATTTAATGGACCAGGAATGGAAATAGCTCATAATACTTCTCACACTCCATTGGCTGGAACATAGATGTACCTGATTGCAAGGAAAGCTGGGAAATGTAGTCCAGCTTTACAGCCAGGAAGAAGTAGGCACAAGTCTTGGTGAGCACACTGAATTCTCTGCCTCAATCCCTAAATGAATATTAATGACTGATATTAATCACTCTAGCCATGTGACCTTAGGCTCAGGGCCCATTTCACCTTTCTTATTATAGGCGTAAAATCAGGATTAAATGTACAAAGCATGTAAAGATGCCTTGTTGTTAACTACCAATATGTACAAAAATATAATACACACCTGAATAGCCCTTTCCCAGATTTGTATATGTTAATGCTATACCATATTAGTGACTCAGGCTTATTTTAAGATATAAAACATTATAGATACAGTTTGAGGTTACCTAATTACTCTCTTTAGTTCCAGTCCTATTTCTTCACCCCCATGAACTCAGCGTTTATTAATCTTATGCACTGGCATCACTTTCTTTGATCACTTAGAACTCAGTGCTGCTGACTTAGTGACCTGTTTATGATCATAGTCAGGAGTGGAAGGCGCCAAATTCGCCGTCAGCCCTCATAGCTAGTCTCCAGGTATGTGTTAGCCTCTAGGGGATGGAGAAAAGAGAGAGAAGAAATCAGAGAGGTCATCACAGGTCAGACCACGACAGGCCTTGTCTGTTGGCCAAGGACTAGGATTTTATCCTGAAAGTAGTGGGGAATCCCATTCATTATCAGGAATGTTTAAAGTTTCAGTTTAGAGGAATAATTGTTGTAGCTATGTGGAGATAGCCCAGAGACATTTGCCATGGTGCTGGGAAGAGATAATATGGACTTCAACTAAAATGGTGGCCCATGGTAATGGAGGCTCATGGAAATGGGCCTGGAAGACTCACAACTTCTCTTTCTTTCTGCTTCAGAAAGGAGTGTACTCCAGTTTGACATGGGCGTGCCTTAAGCAGAAACTGCTGCTTCTTTCTAGCATTTTGACCTTGACTTTTTTAGCTAAGTGGTGAAGAGATCACTATCCATCAGGAGTATAGCTCTTCTGTTGGACTCCCAAGACCTTATCCGCATTCTTTTTTCTTTTAATTTTCACAGCTACACCCTTTGGGATAGTTACCGTTTTTACCATTTAGTCATCAACTCAGCCCTCTGAAGTAGCTAGTATTATTTTCCTAATTTTATAGTTGAGGAAACTGAAGTCCAGAAAATTTAAGTAACTTGTTTAAAAGGACACATCTGGTCAAGATGAATAAGACAACTTAACCCTGGGGCCATTGCTCTGTACTACCTCTAATTGGAATGCAATTGTTTTTATTCCAAAAGCATAGGGAGAAGGAAAAGGCTATATTATAATTTAAAGCATCTGATTAAACTTTGTTAATATAGCCCTAACTTCAATGTATTAAAATATTGTAGAGAATATAGCTATCAGCCACAATCAATACCAGGTTTGAATGGACATAGCTGATTATGAATTCCTACAATTTTGCAGCGATCCTTGCCATAATGGCTTCTTAGTTTGGCACAGAAGTCACAGGAGAGCGGGGCTAAGAGCTAGGAAGCCAGGGTTCTAATCCTGGTGCTGCCATGAATGATCTTTTTGATCTTGGGTGTGATCCTAAGATCATTGGTCCTCAATTTTTCCATCTCAAAAATTTAAGAAATGAACTAAAAGATCTCCAGTGTCCCCATCCCCTCTGTGATTCTCTCCTTGCTTTGTTTCCTTACTAAATCAGAAAATGACTTCAAAAAATGACAAGACATTTAAATAAAAGAAATACTTTTAGAAATGCAACCAAATTATTTTTAATATTTTCAAAGGTGAGGAGAGATAGTATTTACAGAAGCACTAGGAATTATATTTTAAGATTTTTTTTACTGATATTATAAACATACACACGTAAATCATCTGCTTGTATATGAAAAAAATCCAAATCTATGACTCTAGTGAGTCATATTTATTTAAAATATAAGATTTAAATAAATTAAACAATTTAAGTGTGAATCAAGTGTATAACTAAGAGAGGTAATATCTTTAATAGAAATCAACTCATGAAATAGTTTCAATATGTACCTTCATGAAAGAAATCATAGATTTGGGAGAGTATGGATAGACAAAAAGAGAAGACTGATATAGAGAGAATTCTAGAAAACAGCAAGGTTTTTTTATTTTTCTCATGCCTATTTTTTTTAAATAAAAGAGCTATTTCTTTACACAAATTTATTTGTAGAAAAAGTAAATGTATTTTACTTAATAAGTTGTTGAAATTGCTTTCAAACCTACTTTCAATTCTCTCTCTCTACAAAGGAGTGAATGCCAGCCTGGAGGGCAGGATAATATCATTTTTGTTTGTTTGTTTGTTTTTTGTTTTTTATTTTCCATTGGGAGTTTTTCAGGAACTTTACAGCATTTGTTCAATTTGTTTCAATGATGGAATAGATGTAGGCTAATTTCCACAGGCCCACATTAACATTTCTTGCTTTTGCCCTTAACTAAAGGGCTTGGTAGTAACAGCTTGGAACTCTTAATTTTTATCTGTACTGAGCAATTCAGATGTATGCATCCTGCCCCTGTACCCCATGTGCCAAAGGAGGAAAGATGAGATGGAAATCATTTCCTCACTTCCAGGGACTGACTGACATTGCTGGGGGCCACCTCATCAATCAGCCTCAAACATCCTCTTTTAGCGTGTTTCTACCTCCTACCTTTCTGATCTTATTTTCCTTAAGGAAGCCATTGTTGAATTTCTTACTAAATTCCAGGCATGATGCTAGGCATTGAGGCTACAGCCATGAAGAAGGCACCCCTGCTCTTGAGGGCCAAGAGGAGATCAGAAGAACGCTGCATTTTGTACTTTCACCGACTCTCCGAAATCTCCTCCCCGTAGGCATGGGAGTCCCTAACTCTAAGAGGGGGGATTGCCTGAGAGGATTCTAAGACTAAACAGGAAAGCAGCCATGTGTCTATAAGTCAAGTAAGGCTGAATAAAAGTTATGGAACCAGACCTAGGATACAGGGCTGAGTGGTGACAGGCTGCCAGCCCCAGCACTCTTAATTCCTACACCCTCCAGCTCCCCTCTGCCAGGAGAGCCGGGGTCAGTGGGGTCTGTGGTCACCCAGCCCACACTGGCCTGCAGCCCGGCATGTTATACACACACAGCACATAGATAGCTTGGTCCTTTGGGACGAGGCTCAGCAGCCCCAAACACCCACTGCCCCTTATTCTTTCATTTCACTGAAAGAGCAGTAGCTGGGCTCCAGGCCATGCACGGTGCAGTCAGTGCTGTCTCTGTCACACTTGCCACAGTGACATTCAGTGGCTGCCGGGTACGTGTACAGGGAATCTGCGTGGTGAGCACAGCCGGGCACTCTTACTGTCTCATACACCAGCTCCTTGAAGGTACATGCTTTCTGGGTGTTGGGTCGGGCTGGGTCCTTGTACACCAGATCCTGAGGAGTTTAGGAAGGAGAGAGTCAGGTTATAGTATTCTGGAAGTTTCTATTTAGTTTAATTAAAATGAGACAGGGATTTAATACTGCTTGCTCTAACATTTATCCATGTAAGTTCACTTATGGAATTCTAAACCAAGGAAACAAGGCCTTGTAAATGACCTATATGCTATACCACATTTCCTGCTTGTTCTGGAAATCTTACAGAAAATATCTTTCTTTTTCCCACTCCTTATATCTATATCAAAATATTTTTTCTCAAAGTATAGAGAAACTTTGACTTTCAATATAGAAAAATGATGAAAAAGGGAAATATGACAGAAATTTTAAGTTGACTTTTTGCACTTAGTCGAAAGCTATATTAATGACAACTTAAACCATAAAACACTGAAGTTTAATTTCACAGAAAATATTTCCAAATATATTGTCCCTGTGTGCTTATAGAAGGTCAAAAAAGACATAATGTGAAATGTCAATGCTTAGCTTAATATGACTTTGAAGACTCACATAAGATTTTAAATATTCCATTGTCTTGTAGACATTTTTTACCCTTAAATGCTTTATGTTTTGCATGCCCTCAGTTTCAAAGGATACATTGTTTGCAAATAAAAACTTTTAATTCAGGCAGAACAGGTATATTCCGACACTTTCTAGTAAAAAAAAAAAATTGCACTGAGGGAAGAAATTGGCACTGCTGTTTAATTTATTTCAATATCATGCTACCAAGCCTGTATCCTAAGAAGGTTACAATAAATTCTGTAATAAGTGGAGGTTGATGAAACTCATTTACCATCCAATAAAGCATATTTCATTACAAAGTTCCTATATTCAATTTCAGTTTCTGGAATGTAATTCTTCATATAAAACCAGGTGCTAATAGGGGACAAAAAGAAAGAGAAAGTAGAAACTGCTTCTTAATTTGGATTAATACAAAGAAAATGTGTGAATACAAACTAGTGGTTTTATGCCTCTGTGTCCTGATTTTCCCAACAGTCTAAAGAGGTGATTGGGTTTGCAGATTTACTGTGGTTCTAATAGTCTGCACAGATTTATTGTGTCCTCAGGCTCTTGGCATTTGTATTCAGGCCGGCCAGTAAGACAATTTTTATAACATGGCTGTTTGTGGTTTTATGTGGCTTTGAAACAAATTTAGTACTGTCTCTATTGCAAAGATATGGCTTCAATTACATAGAAATAGAAATATATAGAACACATAGAAATACATCTGCATAGAAACTGCCTCTGGGGGGATGTTGTAGCTTTTCTATTGCTAAATATATGTATGCTTACCTGCTTATCTATGTGTAAAATCTAGCATAGAACTCTGGGTTTTTTTTTTGAAAAGCAGAGTTGGCATATTACCAAACTGATCAGATCAAATCTGAGGTTTCCCTAAACTTACCCTAATCAAACCCAAACCCAAACATCTAACTGATAATCATGGTAATTAACTCCAGTCATAACACAGACAGTATTGGCTCAGGGACTCCTGGCTATTCTTTGGGAAACTTGAAGCATTGAGGAAGTGGGACTTCATGAAGCTTGCCTCCCACACAGCCCCTCAGCACCCTCCAGCCCGGCACAGCCAAGTTCCTACCCGGGTGAGGCAGTAGCCCGCACACCAGGTGGCGTTGACGCTGATGCAGAAGCGGCATTCCTCTTTCTCCACCGCGATGGTGACGTTGGTCAGCTCACAGCTGCGGCAGCAGATTGCTTTCCAGAGACAGAAGAGGAAGCAAACCTGGACGGGCTGCATCCTAGACTAGGAGGCAAACAATGAAGTCCCATGAGAAACCGAAAACCAAGGAACTATAATTACTTTTAAATTGACCAAACCAAAATGAATTGGTCCATCCACCTGCCCCAGTCACATTTTTTTTTCAGCAATTATTTTCCTTCCTTTCTCTTTTCTTCTTAATTTCGTGAACAAATATTTCTTCTTATCTTCCTCCTTTTTTTTTGTCAAAGTAGAAACTTGTTATAGGTCAAAACTTTAATATAATGATTTAAGAAGAGCAATATTTAAAGATTAGAGTATCACTGTTCATTGTTTTAAAGTGACTACCCTGAACCAAGTAATTGTGATAATATTTGTCCATTCATTATCATTTTTAAGGACTCTCTTTGTTTAAAAAGAAAATTCTGTATTATAAAATTAACTCATCATTTTTAGCATCACATAAACATTTTCATTTGCTTTTGACCACCTTTGTTTAAAATAAGACTATTTCAGAGGCCAGGCGAATCAGTCTATAGAAAGTCAGTTGCTTGCTAGCAGTGATTGCAGTGTATTAATCATATTTAAGAAGCCAGGTTGACAAGCACAAATTCTCTACATAACAGTGGCTCAAAAGAAGCTCTACATTTGCTCTCCAGATCCTGAAAAACCTATTTGCAAAAGTAGCTGTCACCACTTGATAACTGGAGATGCCGAGACTCACCTGTGGTCGGCTACCTTGTCTGGGGTAAAGCTTTAGACTGAGTTAAGTCTCAGTTCACCTTTTATACATAATCGTGTGCAACTAAACCTTGTGGATTTGTTGGGTATTAATAAGGCCAATGTTAGCTTGAAGCTTACTGTAAGTGAGTCAGTGTTTAGATAGACAGGGAGATCAAGCCTTACTAAAGTAGCCTAAATGAAGTAGATAAAGAAAAATAATGTTACCAGAGATGATGATTTTGCACAAATTAAATTTGATATAGAAGCACACCCACTCCTTTACCTTGTCCAATTAAATGTGACTCTAGGTTTTTCTTTCATATCTTTAACTTAGGGAATTCACAATCCTTTTCAGACATTGCTTTTGCCTTGTTGAGGAGGTATATCAAAAGGACACAGGTATTTAATAAATTGTTCCAAGATCATATTAAAAGCTGTAAGGGAAGAAACAAACAAATAGAAAGTCTTTCATGATCTGACTCTGACCTAAAGTATAAACCGTATTTCTCTTCACCTCCCACATCCAGATTTCCTTATCTCAAATGTCATTTTTTGATGCTTTACTTGCAATTCTCTGAATATTCTTCTGATTCATTTCTCCAGATCTTTGCATGTGCATTGTTCATCCTGACTGAAATGTCCTTCCTTCCTTCCTGAGTTCCCCAACATCACTCCCACCCCTGGCAAATTTCTCAACCTTTACCATCCACCTGCCAGAGTTTTGGATGGGAGACGGAGGAGAACATTAATCACCACCTTCTCTTTGTAATCATTTATATACCTGTTTCTCCCAGTAGACTATGAGCTCCTTGAGACTAGGATTGATTTGTTTAACAAATATTTATTAATTAAGCAGTGTGTCTGGAGCACAGGGACAATGGTGGAAATATTAGGATATGATATCACAAATGTAACTGGATTCAAATCAGGTAGGACTGTTACCAAACTCAGGTTCATCTGCTTGACACTCGAGAGCTAATGACCGAGAGACAAGGGTTGGTGGAAAGAAAAAAAGGTTTATTCAAAATGCTGGCATTCTGGGAAGATGGCAGACTCCTGTCTCAAAGGCCATCTTCCCCATTCCTAGACCAGCCAGAAGGTCTTATAGGAGGGTAAGAAGAAGCAGGACAAAAGAAAGGGGCAGTTAGAGGGGCCGGCTGAGTGGCTCAGTTGGTTAAGAGCTCACCCAAGAGTTTGAGCTCTGAGCAACAGTGGTTCGATTCCCGGCCCAAGCTGAGCTGCCGCTGAGCTGCCAACAGGTGGCAGGATGGCTCAGTTTAAAAAAAAAAAGAAAGAAAGGGGCAGTTAGGTGATTTCTAAGTGCTGACATCTGAAAAATGCCTCTTGGCGGGGTCTGGTTTGCTTCAAGATAATGCTATCTCAGAGGGGTGATTCATGGGTCATCTGGTAGAAAATTGCAAAGGAGTTGCAGTCTGGTAATAGGCATTGAACGGTTTAACAGCTGAAACAGTTTCTTTCAAGTCAGTGTTCTGGCAATTAACCAGATTAATGAGGTATGCATGTAACCTTGGGAAAAACAGAACAATTGAATCAGGGAGTGGGGGAAGGAAACAAAGAAAATAATAAAAGAGAAAAATAAATTAGATTGTTAAATCTTGGAACGTATACTGTCATCCTTATAGGACCTTTTGGGACAATGTAAGAACTTTGTTTTCTACTGTTTGTAAGATAGACCAATTGCAGGAATTTGAATAGAGGAGTGACAAGATCTGATTTAGGAATAAAAGTATCACTCTGGCTGCTGTGTTGCTAATGTAGTGGAACAAAGATAGAAACAGGAAGACCTATTAGATACTATTGCAGCAACCCAGGTGATAAATGATATTTGTTCAGACTAGTGTGGTAGCAATGGAGGTAATGAGACATAATCTGATTCTGGATATATTTTGAAAGTAGAGCCAACAGAATTTTCTGATGGGTGAATGTTGAGTGAGAGAGAAAGAAAAGAGGCAATGATGATTCTCAAGTTTCTACCCTGAGCAACTTGAAGAATAAACTTGCTATTAACTGAAATCGGATGGCTGTAGATGTAGTAAGTTTTGGGGAGAGATAGAGTTCAGCTGAGCATGAGGTGTCTTCAGGACATCTAAGTAGAATGCTGAATCTGAATTTTGGGAGAAATACATTGGCTGAAGGTATACATTTGGTAGTTGTTGACATGAACCTAGAAAAGATTACCAAGGGAATGGGCGTCAATGCAGAGGATAAAAGGACCAAGAGTTGAGCCTGGTGTACGCCAACATTAAGAGGTCAAGGGTATGAGGAAGTTTTATTTTTCCTTTTTCCAAAGGAAAACTGAGAAGGGCCACTGAGTAAAGAATGCAGTGGAGAGAATGTGGTGTTCCAGGAGTCAAGTCAAGACAGTATATCAAGGAGGAGCGAGTGACAACTGGGCTACATGCTGCTGGCTGGTTAAGATGAGGACTGTGAATTGCACAATGCATGTGGCAATGTGAAGGTCACTTGTGTCCGGAGCTAGAGAAGTTCCTTTGGAGCAAGGGGATCGAAACCCTGATTGGTGTGTGTTTAACTGATTGGCCAGAAATAATATTTTTTTTAATTTTTTATTGGGGAGTAGCCGTGGTCATTGGTACACATTGCTTTCATGCTACAATGGCATAGTTGACTCTTTTTAGGGAAGGTGCAGCTCACAGTGGCCCATGCGGGGATTGAACCGGCAACCTTGGTGTTATCAGCACCGCGATCTAACCAACTGAGTTAATTGGTCACCCCCAAGAAATTAACTTTTTAAAAGTTGAATATAGGCAACTTTCCCCAGGAGTTTTGATACAAAGATGAGCAGAGATATGGGTGCTATGGTAAAACGGAAGTAAAGTGGAAGTGGGATAAAGATCCTTTTCTTTTGGTTTTTAGGTTTTAAGAAGGGAGAACTAACTGAATGTTTGTATGGTGATGCACATGATTGAGCAGGGAGTGAAAAATGATGATGTTGGAGGAAAAGAGGAAAATTTCTGGAGTGTTCTTGAGTAGGTGAGAAGAAATGGGTTTTGGAGTACAAGTGGAGGGACTGGCTTTAGCAGGAAGATAGAGAACTCGTCCCAGTACCAGGAAGGAGGTGGAGTGCGGATGATGGTGACAGGGGAGAAGACGTGGGGGCAGAGGACAGCAGGTGGGGTGATAGGCTCTGTGCAAGCTCTCCTGTGATTCATTGTATTTTATCAGTGAAGTAGGAAGTAAGGTTATCATCTGAGAACAAGGATGGTGGACGCGTTGCTGAGGGTTTTGGAGAGAGGAAAAGGTTTAAATAGCTGTTTGAGACTGGGAAAGGAATGAAGTTCGCAGTAGTTTAGGCATAGTATGATAGCCTACCAGCATTAAGGGCCCACTTGGTATCTATGGGAAGAAAGTTAACGTGAGACCACTCAGTATGCATACGCATTTTTCTTTTGCCCAATTTAACAGCAGGGGTGCAGGCAAATGGGTGACAAAATAGTTGGATTTATCCAAGGTTATGATTTTTTCAAACATATGTAACAGAGGTAAAACATAGCAAAGTACTAGACACTGAAAATACTAATTCAACATTTATGTAAGGATATCTGGAATGTAGAAATATTTTAACATCTGTTACTAATGGGTTATAAGCCTATTATCAAAGTTATAGAATGAATAATTAAATTTTGTATACTATATATAAAATGAAATTCACTCATGATTTCTGGAAAATTATAAATCCTTATAATTTTTCTAAAAGAATACTAACAATGTTATAACTAATACACCTTGTTTTATGAAATTAACTTTTTGTTATCTACGTTGTTCACAAAGTATATTTATATGAATCACAAAGTATATTCTTTGTGAACTTACATGTTTTCATGACTAATCTATATACAGTTGTATTAGTTTCTTATATATTCACTTAAAAATGTTAACAGCTTCTTTTTATTGAGCACTTGCTATGCCCCAGGCACTTGACTAAACATTTTAAATGTATGATCACATATAATCTTTACATTTTTTAAAGGAGTTATTATTAGTACTCTTTTAAAGATGGGAAAACTGAGGGTATATGACTTGTCTAAGACTATGTATTGAACACGTAAGTAGCAAGTCGGGTTCATGTCCAAATCTGATGAACTCTAAAACAGGGGCTACTCACTAAGCCATGCTGACTTCAGGGTTTATCATTCTCATGAACCCCATTAGTTGGAGAGTGGCCAAGGCAGAAGGCATCCAAAAATTGGGCAGGTATTCCAAATGTTCATGTTTATGCTTCTATCCACATTTAGGTCAGAGGTCCCCCCAGGAAATCTTACTTTCCTTGGCCTGTC